AAAAAAAAAAAAAAAAAAAAAAAAAAAAAAAAAAAAAAAAAGGGAGTTTGGGAGACATTTTTCCAGAACAGGCCCAATCTACCAAGTTTCTCAGGTTCAAGGCAACCACTTTGTCTATTCTACCTCTCTGTAATGTCAAAAGAATACCAGTTGGTCACATATAAACAAACTTTAAATTGGGAAAAGAACATGAATGGAAATTGTTTAGGATTATAACTCTCATTTTATAGAATTAGATGGTTTATAACAAAGTTAAAAGTAAATTCTCTAAGTTTTTGGAGAACAGAGACTGTTTTTTTTATTTTAGAGGTGGTGTGTTACAGAGCAAAGGCTGGATTTTGAATCAATAAGAAAAGATCTGGTTATTAAAGTTCCGCCTTCCACATTTAAGTTCTGTGACGTTGAAAAAGTCATCGTAGGTCTTTGACTTTCCAATTCAACGGTATAATGGGAATACCAATAGTACCAATTTCCTCAAATAAAGTGATGTAAGTAAAGCACTTTGTAAATATCAAAGGGCAATATAACTATCAGCATTTATTATCTTCATATTCTAAGCTCAGAGGACCTGAGCTAGCACTTTATTAAAGTGGGTGCTGAACCAAAGAAGGGGAGCACAACTAATTACACCCACAAATGATGTTAACATAGGTCACACTATAAACAACCACATAATGCTTACTTAAAACATATGAAAAGTCAGTATGATCATAGATAGAAGTGGATAGGAAGTTCAACTCATTAATCTACTTATTTTACAGACGAGGAAACCGAGGCACAGAGAGGGGAAGTAACCTGCCCAAGGTCACATACTTATTAAGTGAGAGGTAGATTCTACATCTACGTTTAGGAACCTTTCCATTACACCACATGTTCTCCTGCGACTTTAACAACGCGGGTGCCGCACGTCACCCCCAGAAGGCAGATCTGAGGCAGTTTTTCCTCCCACTTCTGCCCTACGGAGGTACAAATAGAAAAGCAGGTCACCCAGGAATCGCCCCCGGAGCCCAGCCTGGACCGCGGCCGTCTCCTGCCCCGGCTCCTCCGCAGGCAGCGTGCCCTCCCCGCGCTCCGTCCTCCGAAATCACGAGTGGGGGGGGTGCGCAGGGGCGGCAGACATGGCCAGTACCCTGAGCTCCTTCTTATATCCCGATTTCCCCGCCAAAAGTTCCGGGGCCGGCCCCTAGCCCCCACGCGCGGATCTAACCCGCCGCGGCCACTGGACCAGACGCTTTCCCGCACCTGCCTCCCCTCGTGGCGCAGTGCCCTTCGTCGCGCCGCGCGCAAGTCGGGGTCGCCTTCCGTTTCAACGCGCACCCAAGTCCTAAGCCCAGCCCTGGCCGGCCCCCTCGGGCTCAGCTCCCTGGCCCCAGACCTAGTCACTCACCCGCGGTTCCAGCGGCAGCCAGGCTCGAGCCCTACTGCAGGAAGCTGCTCAGCGCGCAGCCGCCGCTGCCTCCAACGCCCGCAGGCTAAGGGGGCGCGAGGACGTCCCTGGCCGGCTCACTGGGCCCAGAAGGGTGTATGATCAGGGTGGCTACCGATGGCGCGACGGGGTTAAACTTTCTCTCCCTTCTTCCGGGTTGAGGACGTAGGTACGTGTTCCATCGCGCCTCCCAAATCATGTAGAACTGAGCAGAGGACAAATTCCGCCTGCTCTCCCCAGCCCCCTTTACCTACGCCCCTGCAGCCGACGGGAATGGAATAGTCCCGCAGGGGGGATTGTGGGAGGCGGGGATTGTGGGAGGCGCACGCGCTGGGGGGAGGGGGAGGAGGAGGTGGAGGTGGAGGCGGCGGCCGCGGCGGTTGGTGGTGGTGGGGGCGGGGTGGGGGGGGAAGGACTGAAGAAGAGGCGGAGGCGGCGGCTACAGCTAGCACCGCCTGAGGTAAGCGTGTGGGTCCGCGCCAGAGCCGGCTTGACAGGGGAAAACGAGGAGGGGGGACGCGCGAGAAGTCCCTGAGCAAGCGAAGCGCGTGTGGGCAGGAGCGCGGGGCAAAGGAAGATAGTGGTTGGTGGGGAGCTGGTGATCTAGGCTGAGCCGCGGACGCGCGCGCGCTCGCTCGTCGGCCGGAGTTGGGCGGGGGGAGGAGCGGGGAAGGACGTGGGGGGAGAGCGCGAGGAGGGAGGAGTGGGAGGTGGGGGGGCGCGAGGCGCCCTTCGCTCCCTCCCTCCATCCCTCCCTCCCGAGGAGCTGCCGCCGCTGCCTCTCTGCCGCCGCCGCTCCCGCCGCCATTTTGGGTTCGTTTTGCGGAGGGGGAGACGATCCCCCTTCTCGGTTGCGGGCCCCGCCTCCCCTCAGCCTTCCCCCCCTGCCCCAGTCCGTTCCCCTCTCCCCCTTTTCCTTCCCGCCAGTCTGCTCACCCGCCTGCCGCCGCCTGACAAGCGGGAGGGACCAAACGCGGACCCAGGGAAGCGGAGGAGCCCCGAGGCGGCCGCCTACCCTCCCCAACTCTTTGCCCTCTCCTCATCTCCTTCGCCCGCGGCCTCTGACACGGTGAGTGGAAGCCAGCCTGGGAGGCCTCCGAGCCTGCAGGCTACTCCCCAGCGGCCAGGCCTCGGCCTCCTGGGAGCCACCGTCATCCCTGGTCCTGGACCTCTGGGAGAGGGTTGGGAGGGATGGGGGGAGGGGAGGGGATCCTAGGCCGACCGGGAAGCCCCGCCGGGAGGGGGTCAAGGGGTGTTCCTGACAGGCCGGTTCCTGGGGGGGGGAGAAGGAAGGGAGGGAATGGAGGCGGAGTCGGGCGGATGTCCCTGACAGGTTGGTCTCCGTGCATTGGCATGATTGGGGGGATCCCTGACACAGACTGGCCTGTGTCCGTTTAGGGAATAGAGTATACTGGACGAGATTGGTGAGGGTGATGGGAGTGGGGTGGGGGCCCGTGGTATTCTTGACCTAGGGTGTTAAGTGGTCCCCGTGTGAGTGATAAAGATGGGATGCTTACGATGGGCTGGCCTACGTACACAGTATTAGGTTTACAGACGAATGACTGGCTGTTCTGCGTGTTTGGATATGTTAGGGATGACTTAGGAGACTCTTTTGGGGGTATGGACAGGTGATATTTATTTTATAATAGGACGTATTATGTAAGTGATGCAGGTATACTATCGGAAGGGGAAACCACTTCATGGGACAACGTGTGTTTAATCAGGAATGGGGGTTCCAGAATCATCTGTTTGTATTGGGGTGATAGACTCCCCAAAATAGATTGGTTTATGTATTTAATAGCTGTTGGGATCTCCCTGACAGACTGGTATGGTAGGGATGAAGCATATTTCCTACTTACTCACCAGTTGGTTATAGTTCATGGAGGAATGAAAATATCTGATTAGTTTTTGTTTATGGAGGAGGTTCTTGGGGTGATGCATTTTCCTTTTAGGACTAATATGTGCCCTACATCGTGGACAAATGTGATGAATATTTTGGAAAAGGCTAACCTGTGTGTTGACTTGGGAATATAGAATTCAATTCAGTTGAAATACTTTAAGTTTGAATGATATTTATGCATATTTTATGTCTAACTTTCTTTTTCTTGGAAACAATCTGGTAAAGTGGGTAGGGTCTGCCTTTATTTTACAAATAAATATATTGAGGACCATAAAGGGTTTAAATGCCTTGCTGTCCACTCATCAAGTTAGTTCTTGCTGCCCAAGTTTCATGATTCTGGTTCTGTTGCTCTTGTAAATGGGGAAGGGGGCCCTTATCAGCATGATTTGATTTTACATAGGAAAAAAGTTATATTTACTTAGCTTGTATCTAAGAAGGTTCAAAAATATCCTTGACATTATATGAATGTTAAAGGAATATAGGTTGTTTTTGTAAGACTGATCCATTATTCGGAGCAATTAGATACTGTTTACCAAATTACTTTATGTTTATGGAGGAGGTGGCATTTTTGACCAGGTGGTTTGTATATATATGAGTAAGGGAAATCCTTTACATTTTGGCCTGTGTTTTGTCCTGTGGACTGACCCAGACAGTGCTTTGTGTTGGTGGGAAGAGGTATCATTGTTAATTGACCTATGATTATGGGAAGTATGATTGGGTAAACCTGATAGGATCGGTTGTATGCATACTTCAGAATTGCCTTGAGGGGAGGAAGTTCATCTACCACACAAAGTAACTTGTGTAGAATTGTGGCTAAGAAACTTTTTCCTTCAAAATTTGTTCGATATGCCTGAAGGAAATTAATATCTTTAAGGCAAGATGGCATAGTAAGGATCTAGGAGAATTTATCTGGCTGAGTGGATTGAGTATGTGATATAGAATACTTGTATGGTGCATATGTATTGGGTTTAGGAGCCACTGTCTAAACTGTATTTAGGAGATGGGCATTGCCATTTTTTAATACTCCTGGGAGTTGGTACTCTATATTTTCTGACAGGTGAGTGTGTACAATGCAGAGCCTTCCTATAATTAAGTATAAAGGAGATTTCCTGAACTGATGTAACAGTAGGAAGATGGATGGTTTCTTGATTGGTTTGACTCTGACTTCTATCTCACATATATACACATTTTTATATATAAATGTAAATATATTTGGGAAAATGGTAAGTTGTGTGCTGACTTGGGTATATAGAATTCAGTTCACACACACACATATGAAATCTACACTAACAAATGCAAATGCCACTAAAACTTCTATATAACACAAATGGTATTCAAATATTAAAAGGTAGCCTATATACACTGGAGAATATTTGTGACAAAATTGAACTCTTCCTTCTCCCACTCTCAAATCCTTGTTACTTAATTATTGTAGGGTTTGATTTGTATGCTGAAGTGTTGTCCAGAGGGCTGTGCTTATATTTAGGATGAGATAGAGGATAAGGTGAGAGAATATGGTGGTATGATGTTTTTAAAAAGGTCAGAGGATTCTGTGACAGTATTAGGGGGTTTTGATAGGACTAATTAGGACTTTTTGAACCATGATTTATAAACTTCTGGTCTCCTATTACATGATTATGGAAATAAGTGATATGGTAATTGCTTACCTGTGTCCTGCCTTGTTCTTACCTTGGTTCCTTTTAATTTTTAGTGACCCTCCCTCTTATCTCTCTATCCTATCTCTTCAGGTGAAAATGAATATTTTTCATTCTTTTGAGTCTTACTATGTGGATAATGCCAGGATTTGAGACCAGGAATTGTAAATGATTGTTTGAATCTTTTAGGGTAGTAGAAGGGGCTAGAAGTGAAACCATAATCATGAAAGTTGTATATTCACAGTATTATCAATTGCCTTTCCTTATTGTCTATAAAGTTTTTAGGTTGTATAAGCAACTTTGTAGCCAAAAATGTGTTTTGGTAGCATCTGATGTTTTTGGTTAAATGCATAATCTGTTTTAAAACTGGTATAAACATTGGTAAGGAAGCACTTTTTAGTCCTTTAAAAATTTTGATTGTCATGCTAAGCCCTTTTTCTCTAGGACATTTTATGTTATAGGTCTTAGTGTCCTTTTGGATTTATATGCCTGTAGGAAACCCTTCATGTATCTCTGGGGTGAAATGTAGCAGCTGTTTGACAGCTGTAGTGTGAGTATCCATTAATTTGGAACAGGAAGTGTTAAAAAAAAAATCCATTTCTTATTTAAGATGATAAATTCAGGAAGATATTGTAATAACACAAATGACAGGTTTGGGGAGGACAGTGAAACATTTTTGTGAAAAATGCTCTGAAATTCTTAAGGATCAAGATGGATTTTAGGGTGATATAATACACAAGACACTACTTCCCAGGTAACTTCTGAGGGCACCTGTTTCATTACTAATTTAATTACTACCACCTTTAACATTTCTCTGAGTTACTTGATTTATTACTACTCAAAAAGTGGTCAGTACTGTTTCTGTTTAGCGTGTAGTCCAAAGTGATTTGCTTATAGACATTATACGCTTTTTAAAGGACTCAGATTCTAGTTACTAGAGAGTGTCACATTGCTCTCTTAAGTCATGTGTACTGGTCTGATTCTTTTAAGACACTCATATGGAGGAATCTTCAACTTGGCTGTGTCTGCTATGTGATCTCCTTTTTGCCAGTCTTCCTGGAAGCCTTGAGATTTCTTAAAATTTAGGCTTTAACATCTGGCTGCCACAAGAGAGGAAAGCACAAGAGGCAAAGAGCACAAAGAGCAGCTTAAGAAGTACTGCCAAAATTGTCTTACGGACATTTCCCTAAAATTTACTAACAGTTCTTGTTCATTCTTTTTGTTTAGTCACTGGTGAAAAGCCAGGTTTTACTACTTTGTTTAGATTTGTCAATTTCTCTATGAACATCATTTTTTATTGTATAATGAACATTTTGGAAATGGCATTCTTTTAGACTATCTCAGAATTTGACTGTCATTGTCTGGTATTGACCCAGATTAATGAATGCATCAGTTATGAATTCAGTTTTTAAAAGGAATTTAATTGACCTTACTAACATTTATGTTTTAATATCCATCTCTCAATATTTTAAATTTTATTTATTTAATAACTTACTGAATTAGACGGTTGAGAGTACTTTGAAGTATCTCTGAAGTAGTCTTTGTAGTATATTTATTTCCTTTTCCTGGTTATTAGCTAGTTACTTTCATGTGAATATAGTTGAATTATCCTAGTATTATTTACATTCTTCCCCTTATAGAAGCATAGACTAGACTTATTTTTTCAGTGTCAATTTTAAGAACTTTTAATTAGTGTGTTACTAACCAGTACTAAACTGTTTATATCAGA